GTTCCAAAATTATCCTCAAACAGTATCATCAGCTGAAGAGCAAACCAATCTGGAAGGGGCATCTCACATTCAAATCACAATAGTTTCAGCCGAGCATATGCCTGTAATCTCAGAACTTGGAAGGTAGAGGTGTTCAGGCGTTCAAAAACAGATTGGCTACCTTGTGAGTTTGAGGCCAGCTAAGGCTGTATGAGACCCTATGTCAAGAAAACAAAACCAAGGGCTGTAGTTTTAAAGATGTCAGCCATAAGAACATCTGGAAATTACAAAACATCAAGAATTAAACCTAATAAAACGAATGCATGGTGTTAGTTCATAAAATAAAAATGTTAAAATATATTAAAGGAATCATCAAATGCATGAGATGACAGTCATATATAATGATGCCTATTAAAATACCTTCACACACATACATGTATTTACAATTTGAATTTTTTCAGAATCCTAGGTAAGCTCATTATGAACCTGAAAAACTGGTTTGTAAATGCTTAGGTAGTCAAGAAAAGCCAAGAAGAATTTGAATAAGATAGGAGAGGTTGCCTAATTATGTAGCAATACTTATTACAAACCAGTCATAGCTGAAATATTGTATTGTATTAGAGCAAATAAAAACCACAGCAACCCAGTAGCAAACCTATAAATAATTACATAAATGCAACTTCATATATAATTAGTGACCTAGGCAAACAGTATAAAAAAGATGATCATTTCAATAACAGGTGCTAATTATTTATATGTATAAAAAGTATCCATATGTCATAGCATACTCGAAAGTCATCATTTTAGATTGAACTCATAAATATAATAAATTGCAAAATTCAGAAAATGATGTGATGCTGCTTTGTTACTTTGAGCAATAAAGAATGCATAAGCTTTTTGTTTGTCTTTTTTTTTCTTATTTTTGAGATTAATATAATTATATCCTTTCTTCCTTTCCTTCCCTCCTTCCAGACCCTCCCATAAATTACTCCTTGTACTCTTTCAAATTCGTGGCTTCTTTTCTTATTAATGGTTGTTAAATGCATGTACGTATATTCATATATATTCCTAAATATAACTTGCTCAGTCTGTATAATGGTTACTTGTGTGTATGTTTTCAGGGCTGTCCAATGGTTGTGCTCTTCTTTGGGGGAGACTGTATTTTCCACTCTCAGTATTTCTTAGTTGCCCTAGTTCTTTGTGTAGTTGAGGTCTCACAGGCTTTCTCTCATCCACTTAGGCATGTTTATTGTTGAAGACTCTATGCACTTTAGACACAGGGCTCAGGGGCCCTCTAGTTGGAACAGACCTGAATGCCTCCTCCCTGAGGACCAGCTTTAATGGTGCCAGAAGGCATCACATAAGCTTACAAAGGATGGAAGCAACTAATAATCCTACCCAGATATTCTGCCTATGAACTGTAACAATGGCCAGCCTGGTACAAAAACCTTAACGGTGCAGTAGTGCGCACATACCTTGTTGGAAACCAACAGCTCTCTACTGGGATTTAAGACCTGCTCAACAAGGGGAATTTGTGCCTGGTACAGGAAACCTTGTGGATTGATGAAGTCATGGATTTTGGCGGAGAATCTACAGTCACCACTTTACTAAACCAACATAATCATAACTATATTCTAAGCATTTGTCCTTATACCCACAGATAAATGTAATCCTCACCCCTCATCAAGGAAATGTCTCTTTCCAATAGACAGGGACCATTACAGCAAATCACAACCAATCAAAGTACAGAGTGGTGGAGCCCAGTCTCAATGGATACATGTATAATACATTTCCTGCAGCTAAGGCACAGGGATCACTGCAGAAAAGGGAGAAGAAAGAGTGTAAGAGCCAGAGGATCAGGGAGTTTATTGTGAGATTATGTCTCCCTGAAATGTCAGAAGCTACACCCATAAAGTCTCACCAACATGACTGTCTAAACATGAGCTGCACAAGAATGTGTAAGGTTTTAGCCTATTTCAGGGGCTTAAAAGATGGGTCAGTAGTTAAGAACACCTGCCACTCTTGCTAAGGACAAGTTTTAGTTTCTAGCACTCATGTTGCAGCTCACGACTACCTGTCATTTCTGTTCCAGGAGATCTGACACACTCTCCTGACTTCCGCAGACACTATGTACTCTTGTGGTGCACATGCATAGATACATGGAGGCAGAGAACTCATACCCAAAGGGTTTAACCTATTTAAGCAGTTGAAAATAAACCACATGCCAGGAGAAGACATTTGGAGTATGTATGAAGAATTCAGCTTCTGGTGTCTAATAGATTTAGTGTCAAATATTAATATTAGTACAGAATTTGTTTTCTCATCATAGAGTTTTAAGGATATTCATGATTCTATGAATCACCAGATAATAATTTATTTCTATTCCAATTAAGAAACACACAAGTTGTAGGCTATTTGTGTTTAAAATACACACTATATGTTGGAGGCTTGAGGATCAGAGCCTTACTTCCTGGGTTCTGAATACCTGAGTGCTGGGTACTGCTGCTCTATCTCCAGGCTTGGGACTTCCAGCTCCTCTGAATTTCCTTGAACTCTGCACATATACTGTTTGTATAGCAGCTCCAAGACTTGCTGCACAGTCAAGACTACATGAAAGGCATGTGCATCATTAAAATAAAGCCAAATATCTTCCCTCCGTATTTGCTTGTAAACCAGCCAAAGATGCCAAAGTGAACTCAAGCCATGCCAGCTACCTTCTCCAGAAGCAGATCAAGCCACAGGTTTCATGAAATGGAAATTAACATTTGCTATAGTCAGGAGTACATTAAAAAATACTGTCTAAGTAATTTCAGATAAAAGTTTGAAAAGTCTCCCCTGGCCTGACTAAAACGCTTGCTCACTCTATCCCTTTTATTATGTACCTTCAGGCACTGCTATATAAACCTGCCAGCATTATTAATGCATCTCAGGATGATTCCATGGTGTTACTAAATATGGAAAAGCCGAGGAGCAGGGCCTTAAAAGAAGAAAAGAGTATTGCTGTTGAGGGAGGAACAGTACTGCCCCCTTCCCTTCTTTGTGCTTTGGACCTTCACATAGGAGCCTGCAAAGGGAAAATTAAAAACAGCTAGCTCAGTTGAATAACACACACACACACACACTGGAGAAAAATGCACTTTACTTAAATCTTATGATATATTCTTTTCTCTAGAAAGAATGCACAGATCTCGTGTTGATGGTAGTGTAAAATTTTCAGTGTGTGATTGTATTACTTTGTCATAAGTTGGTTCCTACCAATAGTTTAGGATTTGGCTTCTTTCCTCACATCATTTTCTTCCTGGTCTGTGTGACGGTTAACATGTTGTAAGTCTTAAGTGTAAATTACTGTGCTTAAGAGATCAACAATATGATAGATGGAACAAAAATGCCTCTAACCTGCAAGGGCTACTTGCCCAAGGACAGATAACTTCCTGGAATGCTGGGGACTGCTGTTCATGTAAAATAACATGCATGTGTGTTTATACTTCTATAAACAAGCTTGGTTGCCCTGAGTGTGTGTGTGCTTGATTACATGTAGGCAGGGAGTACATAGCCTTTAGAGTTTTGCCCTTTTTCTCTTCATGGAACTGGGAGACAGAAAATGAGGGAAAGTAAACTTCAAGATCTCTTTGGAAGAAATAAGAAACAATTTAAAATGTTGAAACTGAATTAACTGAATGAAGGCAGGAAGTATGAAGCCTTGTGAGTTGTTTGCCTTTATAAGCTCAATACTAATGTAATTCTGAGCTATAATCTGAGCAGGAGTCTTAGTATGCACCTAGTCAGTATCTACAGTCCTGGCCAATGTTTTAAAAAGCCTCTTATTTATTAAAATTTATTCATTGTCATGCTGGTGAATCTCTAAGTGACCCCAGACCCATGACAGTATGAAAGCCATAAACAATCTGGAAATTGTAAATGTAGGTAGACTCAGAGGTTTTCTATATGTCAGGGTTACCCACAATAACACCTTACTATATAGACCAAAGTGCTATTCCTGCTTGATCTTCAATGCTAATGTCAGAAATTTCTTTTCATTTTGTTATCAGCTAATGTCAGAAATTTCTTTTCGTTTTGTCACATGTCTTATCAGCATTTTGTAAGCTCCTTATCTTCAAAACCTTTGGTTTCTATTTCATCTCAACCTGACTGCTCTATGCTACTCAATTTAAGCAATGACTTCCAAGTCTCTATCAGCACCTAATTTCATTCTTCCTGCTCCCTTTATCCCTTTAGGTCACTTCTCAACCCTTATGTGCACTTGGGCTTCCTTAATCTAACCACCAGTGTAACACATTAGCCCTTCCTTAACTTAGTTTACTCTTCAGCCTAGCCCTGGGTACACCTGCTTCCATTGGTGCCAAGCTCACAGTCTTTGTTTTTCCTCAAAATGCCCAGTGTTTACTGTATGGACCAGGATAGTCCTGATTAGATCATGCAAGATTCTTGTAATTTTTGCTTCAATTTCAACGTTTTGTTTCTTGTTTTTTCCAAAGAGATCTCGAAGTTTACTTTTCCCTTGTCTCGTCTTTTCTAGTTCCATGGTAGCCTGTTTTAGGTTAAGGAGAAACTGTTTCTTCATTCAACTTCTATGGTCCAAAGTTTATCATCAGAACACTTTCCTGAAGCATGTGGGTCAATTCCTTCTTTTTTTTTTATTTAAGAAATTTTTTATTCATTTTACATACGAATTACAGATCCCCTTCTTCTCTCCTCCAGCCTTTTCCCAACCCATCCCCCATTTCCTCTTACAAAAAAGGTAATGCCTCCCATGGGGAGTCAGCAGAGCCTGGTACATTCAGTAGAGGCATGTTCAAGCCCCTCCCCCTGCATCAAGGCTGTTCAAGGTGTCCCTCCATAGGTAGTGGGCTCCAAAAAGCCAGCTCATGCACCAGGGATGGATCCTGATCCTACTGCCAGGGGGGCCCCTTAAGCAGATCAAGCTACATAACTGTCTTGATTATGCAGTGGGCCTAGTCCAGTTCTGTGGAGGCTCCTCAGGTGTTGGTCTAAATTTCATGAATTCCCACTAGTTTGTTTTGGTTGTCTCTGTAGGTTTCCCCATCATGATCTTGATGTCCCTTGCTCATAGAATCCTTCTCTCTCTTTGACTGGACTCCTGGTTTGGCTGTGGATCTCTTGAATGTGGCATTCAATTGTTCCAGCATTATTTATTGAAAACACTGCTATTGTAAACTGTCCCATTAAAACTGGATGTGGCAGCATACCCCTGTTATCCCAGCACACAAGAATCAGAGGCAGCCATTTTCATGACTGTCTTAGTCAGGGTTTACTATCGCTGTGAAGAAACACCATGGCCACAGCAATTCTTATAAAGAAAACATTTAATTGAGGGTGGCTTGCTTAAAATTTCAGAAGTTCAGTCCATTATGATCATGAAGGGGAGCATGGCAGTGTGGTACTGGAGCCCAGAGTGCTACATCTTGCAGCCAACAGGAAATTGACTGTCTCACTGAGGGAAGCTTTCGAAAAAGAGACCTCGAAGCCCACCCCTCACAGTGACACAGTGATACACTTCCTCCAATAAGGCCTCCTAATAGTGTCATTCCCTTTGGGGGCCATTTTCTTTCAGACAACCACAATGGCCAGCCTAAATTACATAACAAAGTCCAGTATTAAGATCATACATTAAAATTATAGTAATTTTTCCTTAGGTATTGATCCTGCATTAGACATTCAGACTGATTCTATATCTTAGCTATTTTAAAATTAGTGTTTCAGTGAAATAAACAGACACCTTTCAACATACTCATTTCCTTTTGTATATCTACAAGAGATTTTGTTTAAACACAGAAGTATAAGTCATGTGTAATATGGTAGATTATTTTTAATATCTTAGTGTACTTTTATGCCATTTTCCAAACAGCCATACTAATTTAATTCTCACAAACATTGCTCAGGGGCTTTTTTTTACTTTCTCATCAATACCTGTTGTCTTTGTATTTTGGTAATAGCAATTTGAACAATGTGAAGTGATAGCTTAGTAGGGTTTTAGTTAGCCTTCTCCTGGGAATTAGTGGAGCTGACTTTTTTTTAATCTACCTTTTGGCTATTTGTATTTGTTCATTTTGCTTGTGGGTTTTGTTGTTTTCTTTCTTCCCCTTTGAGGTAGTCTCATGGTGTAGTACATGCTGGCCTAAAACTTGATTGGTGACCATTTTGCCTTCACATCCTGAGTACTAGGGTTAGTCATTGACCCTGTGTTGAACTCTGTACATTCTGAAAATGTATATTCAGAAACATAATCTGTTTATTTCTTTAAAAATAAGTACAGTTGTTTCTAGTGCTATTAAGTTGAGTTCCATATGGACTTTGGGTATTTGAGTGTTGTTCACAAATATCTTCTCTCATTTCTTCCATTAATTCATTGTTATAAACTTTTCAGTTCCATGTAATTCTGTCTACGTTTCTTCTTGAATTGCCAATACTTTGGGGATCAAAATAAAAATTATTAGATCAATGTCAAGAACCTGTTTGTGTTCTTATTTTCTAGTAGTCTTAGTATTTTGTGCCTTATATTTTTACCCATATTGAATGAATTTGCATTGTTGGTGTGAGAAGATTCTAATTTCTTTTCTTTTTCATGCTGGGAAAATCTGATGCTTAGGGACTATGTCAAGTTTTCCAAGCTTTCTTTCTATTTGGTCAACAATATCCAGCCTCCTCTTCTCCTGTAGGGACTGATCTCTGATCTCCCAAGATTCTTTTTCTGGAATTGGTGCTAGGGTTGACAGTCAAGTCAGGCACTTTACTAGTATTTTTGAATATGCCTAATAAGAGCCATCTGAATCTTCTGAGTTTATTCATAGGACATCTGGAAAGACTCTTAGGTCAAGGTTGGATTACATGTTTACAATGGACTGTTGGTAGGTTTGTTGAACTCTCCTGAAGTTACTCCAAGGCCTCCTGAAAAAAAACAAAAAAAAAAAACAACAACAACAACAACAAAAAAGTCTCTCTCAAAAATCCTGAAAATCTCAAGCTTGCCTGTGATTCCAGAAGTTGGGTAGTGGAAGTAGCAGTATCAGGCATTTCAGGCCAGCCTTAGCTTCAGGGTGGATTCTTGATAGTCTGGGCTACATGCCACACTGTTGCAAAAGACCAAAAAGTAAGAAAAAATAGTAACAAAATAAATACCCAAACTCCCACAAATGATGGTGTGTAGCACGAATTGTTAGAAGGTGAAAGACCCCCGATCCATTATGAGGACATGGGGCGTTGGGCCGATGAAATGCTCCCCCCCCCCCAATAACTTAGCCTAAGAAACGCCATTCTGAAGGAATCAGAAAAACAGGAGTTCACAGCTGTGGCTGGCTAGCCATCCGGCCTTGAGAGAGATAACTATGGCCAGCCATCCAGCCTTGGGAGAGAGATAACTGTGGTCAGCGGCCTTGGGAGAAAAACAGTTGAGTCAAATCAGGATATTTTGTGACTGGCCCCCTGGCCTTGAGGAATAAGCAGCTGGGCTGGAAAAACACCCACTATACCCTGGGCAAGGCCAAGTCAGCCACACACATACGACCCCAAGTTCACCCTGGCCTTCTTTGAAACAACCAGTAGGGGCCCTGTAACTATGCTTCTCGCTTCTGTAACCGCGCCTCTGCCCCTGGGATCCCATGAAAAGTCCCCCTTGCCCTAGGAAGGGGCGCAAGTCCTCCGAGAGACTTCGCCCCGGGTACCCGTGTATCTAATAAACCCTCTTGCTTTTGCATCTGATCTGTGGTTTCGGTGTGTTCCTTGGGTTTGGGGTCTCTCC